AAAGATAACAGGTAGGACAATAAGTTGGGATACTAGATGTTTAATTTGATGTGAATGATTTGATTATTAACTTTTGATTGGAATAAACTAATCAATAAATTTTAAGTAATATATAATGTATTAGTGAAAACTAAATCGGTTACTTAGATTTCCGCGTAGAGAAACACACATTTCTATCTAAGATATATTCTTTAGGGTTTCTATTACATTGATGTACATTGCCACTAAAAAATGTGTAGTTCATGCTCTTGAGCTTCATAAAATAGAGAGTCATATTTAAATAGGAAAATAAATAATTCAGCAGCAAAAGAGAAGAAATGAGTAGAAGGTGGCAGGAGCTCTAACTGAATAGAGAGTGATATTAAAATAAGAAATGTAACATTCAGCAGCAAAAGAGAAGTACAAGAGATGGCAACGATGAATCTATAAATAAAAATAGAATAAATTAACGAATTTTAAAATATATGCTCGCCTAAATGGTAACAATAGAATGACTAAACAATTTCTATGGTTGATTACTTTTGGTTTTTAAATGTAAACAGTGAATTTGTATTTAGGTTAATTTGTTGTGCTTGTACAGCTGCATAGCTGCTGGTCGCAATGTCGTTGTAGTGTTTGTTAATTCTGGTTCTGTTAATATTTAGTATTTATAGTGTTAGCTTCCTAATACTGCCTTACGTTTGAATGTTGTAGATATGCTATGCTTGTTTCCTTTTATTGTATAAATAATTATATTGTATTTCACTTTTTTACAAATCATTTTCATATTAGAACAGAAGTTTGTTTGTCGCAGTGAAAACACGTTACTTTCGCTTTATAGAAAATCACGCTTTTTTCACTTTACACTAGGAGATTATTAAGAGAGTAATTTTTTTTATGTTTGATCTATATATATTATGATCTATGGCATAAACATAGTGCATATCGTGGGGTGGTTAATTAAAATTGTAAGAATAATAATATGGTGATAAGTACATAAGTGTCCGCAATATCACAGAGCTAAAACGTGAATTGATCTTGCGGAATTGAATTTCGCAATTGTCGCAAACTAGCCGTGCCTGCAGTTTCACCCTCAGGAAATTTATAATCTATTATATTTGTAATTGTTATTTTGATGTATTAGCTATATTACCGTAAAGTTTTATCAAAATCCGTTTAGTAGTTTTTTCGAAAAAGAGTAATAAACGTCCATCTATAAATCTATACTCACAAACTTCCGCGTTTATAATATTAGTAAGATGTTTAAATATGATAGGCATTGATATATGCTACACAGCTAATTTACAAGTGATTTCGTGTGATTATACATATACGGTAGGGGTACGTTATCAATGACTTATATTTATGGAATATTATTACAACATGACATACTAATATCACAATTAATAAAGGCGTATCTTGCGATTGTTGTGGTCTAAGGAAACATTGTTTATCGTATCCCGATTATCTGATTTCAAACGATCTTTAGTTATCTCTGATTTCTCTCTGTGCTAGTTGTGTGTTCACACATTTCAATCCAAAAATGTTACAATTGTAGTTAAGACCATTGTTACTACAATTACTTATATAAAAGAGTAACTCGCAAGTTTCTTTCTCGTTATTCTTGTGATGTCGTGATGAGATCGCTTTCGGAATGAGAGGTAAATTGTAAAAATTTTATGTTCAATAATACTTAATTTTTAGTTTATAAAGAATTTTCTATCCAATTCTATTCTGAGAATATCTGTGGCTTGCTTTTGGCACGGTTCTGCATACAACTATGTAAAAACTCACCTGGCCTCCAATTTTAGTTTAAGTAAAAATGTGTTTTTTTACTTAAATATTTTAGTTATTAATAATTACAGGTTCGATTCTCGCTCGAGTTAATTTAGGAAATGCTCAACTATCACCTTAGTTATCTAACTCTAAATTAAATAATATTATATTATTAACGAATCTTGTGGGTCCATTAACCAAAAATAAAGCTCGGGCACATGCTTACCCTGCGGCATCTACGCCCTTGTCTGACTTGAGTTACGTGGGGTAGCGTCCCCATTTCTAGGCAGTTGTACACTGAATTGATTTTCACAGCATCCCCTTTACGGATTTGACAATTGAAAGCGGTACTTTGCGTTGACGTGTATTGTCTTTGTCTCGATGAGGTTTTCAAAAACAGAAAAGTGCTTTCCTTATATTTTTTTCATTTTTTATTCGTTCACATTATTACTTATATGAATGTTTTTTAATATTAGGCTTATGAATTTACAAATTTATGCTAGTTCCAACATCATTCATAAATATTTTTAAATAAATGAAATAAAAAAAATATTATTCTGTGTTGTGAAAATAAAAAATCATTATCAATTTTATTCAGACAGACAAACTGACAAAGACAACTAAATATTAAATTATATCATTTTTTTATTCATCTGTAATAGTCACCATAGATATTTTTATCATTTTCACGAAAGAGATAGTAGGTACTTAGATATAGATAATTGTATTATACAATATGTGTATGTAAGAAATTCATTCTTAATTGAAAGTCACAGCCTAAGACTTTCTGAACTATAGTTTATAACAATTAGTTGGACAAAATAAACATTTGACTACCCCACAAGATGTATCCATAAATTCGGTAGCCCTTCCAATGCCGGGAAAGCTGTTGGTCGCACCTCACATCATTAATTAATCCAAATTACACTTTAATCCTCCTATTTAACGTTTTATTTCCTTCGATAGAGAGGCCTTGTTAATTTTGCGATTTACCAAGATTAGGCCAATTTTCATTGACCTGCCCAACATGTTACGTATCCCGCAAATACATGCAGTTTATCTACTTTTGCGAGAGGTGGAGGAGATCAATAAACACTGGTCAGTTTCGTCAAACATCGTTGTTTTGGGCGGTTGCTATGACGACGCTTGATCCAAATTGGAAATACGGTGGGGTGTTTGGGTTTAAAGACAGAGACGCATACAGGAGTAAGTGTGAATGGAGTGAGATAGAAAATGGGGGTGAATAATGCACTGCGCACTTGCTTCTATGCATGGTTAAATTGCATTAGCCTGCCTTTTGAACGAATGCTCCCAATCTGCTCGATTGATTCAGATCATCGGTCATGTATGCTCCTCTATAATACGCTGCGTTTACACAGATAACACTTTGTATTGTAAACTAGCTAAATCGTATGCTGGGTATTTGTAACAGCAAGAGTTTATATCTTTTATGTTTGTCAATCAATTGTAATAAAACACAATACAAGAAAAAAAAATTGATTAATCTTAATACATCTATAATGAAATCTGCACCCAAATTAGTTAAGCCCTTTCTGAGATTAGCAAAAACAAACAGAGAAACAGACAAAATTCTTATAATCGTGTTTGAGGTTCTCTTAAGTTGGTTAAGTGCACCAAAAGTTTTTCTAATATATATATATATATACTGGCGCTTACATTTTTTACCGGATATACCTAAAAAATGTAAGCTCCAGTTTTGCCGTTTGCCATGGTATTCGACGTCACACAGTTCGTCTGTCTTTACTATTATATATTGCAATGAATACAAAAGTTCAGAAATGATGGATGGGCATTGTAAAATAAAATATGAAAGCTCATGGCGTTATAAATGGAAAGTCAGAATTTAGAAAATATAAAATGTTGATCCGTCATCGTTTTAGATGAAATTAATGCTACAAAAGACTGGGCTATGTAAACAAATAAACAGATAGATACATACGCATGATGATATTATTTGTATTTCAAACCCCAAATTTAAACAGAGTCTCTGTTATATCTATTATGATGCTAGAAAACTGATAGACATCACTACATTTTTTTGTTAATATTGTATATAAAAGTTGCCAATATGTAAAAAAAATATAGTAGTCATAAAATTATCCTTATTAAGGGAACCTTTCAAATTGATTATTTTTTTCTGGATTTTGAACATTCTTTATTTTATTATAAAATTTGTACAATTTCAGAAAATTTATTTATTTACCTTTGATATTATTTAAATGATAAAATATTTGAAAATGGAATGCAGGATATATCTGATTTGTTATCTTTATACGCCTTTTATATTAGGAAAGGCTGCATTCTATTTTTAAAATGATGGAATATATGTATGTATGTACTGCTGTATTTTGAGTTAGCCCTAATCAAGTGATTTAAAAAAATATACGCGTATATTACGACGTATATTTTTTTAATAATATAATGTATATTTTAATAATAATGTAATGCTTACACAAAATACATATACAAATAAAAACCATTAAGAAGCAATTAAAACGCAACACCCGTGTTACATCAGGTGTACAAAATAAGCCTTCAAAAATATCCCGATATTGTGTTCCTTGCATAATTCAACAGGGCAGCATTCACTCACGAAACTCATTGTAAATGCATACGATATACATTTAGACGATTCCTTCATTTCAAAACGTTTGCCCCTTGCATTGTTGTGAGGATTACGTATTATATTATTAAAACGAACAAACGAAATGAAATAGAATACGAAAACGCTTTAAAGTCGGCAATATACCTACAACACAATCATCTAACATTTCAACTTTTCGACCAAGTTCAGATGTCTGTATATTATTCGATCGTTAGTTTATTCAGTGCAAAAGGATTGAAAAAATGTAATAATAAAATGGCAAAAATATTTGTTAACTTTTATCATCACTACATAGTATAAAATAAAGTCGCTGTCCCTGTGTGTGATTAAATCTTTAAAACTACGCAACGGATTTTTTTTAATAGATAGAGTGATTCAAGAGGAATGTTAATATATATTATACATGTACACTCGTTCGAAGCCGTGGCGAGTAGCAAGTACACAATAATAGTGAAATTGATAACCTTCTTTTTAGAATTGACTAACATAACTTCAGTGATTGAGTTTAACTGCTTCTTCAACATTACGTAACTGAAAAAAATAAAAAACCAATATTTTCTTTGTTTCAAACCCTAAATTGGAAATTACAGCTATTTCAATACTATTTCTTTTGTTTCAGAAATCGTAGAGGAGCAACAATGTCACGACTACAGATTCCGTTTGACGTGTCGCGATCTAGAAACGCACATTGCGATCCTGGAGGCGTGGTATACGTCTCTAGACGACTACTACGAGACAAACACCACTCAGGCCAGTTTAAAATTAAAAACTGAGAATGATTCCGAGTTGAATCGTGTCTATATTTATTCTAGTCCGAAACACAATGGCGTTTACGAGCCGACAAACCATTCCATATTTGAAAATGTTACGAATAGTTCATTCGAATTTAACGAATCGAATTCAGTGAACGATTCATTATCGAACGATTCAGATGTGACAGCTGATTTTGTGAATAATAGTGAGTGTGGTGCAGTGACGTTTGCTAGAAGCTACGGGAGTTGGCGAGAGGGTGATAAGAGACGGGTTGTTGTGGAGAGGAACTCATCAAGAAATTTGAGGGCGCCATTCAGTTACCGGTAAGTTTATAGTATCTATTACCTAACCCTCTAAGTACCTATTACAAATTTATAACTTTATACACAATTTTACTACTAACGACTAAAATGACTTGAACTATTACATGAACTAAAATTAATGAAATACTAACGACTTTTACGATTAATGTAGGCTGTCGCTGCTTTATAAATATATGTTTGTTATAAATGTGATGTGTTTTGTTTGTTAGTCTATTTGTAACCTTTACGACTAAACGTCTGAACAAATCTTAATAGAATTTTTGAGATAAATATAGAGATAAGTTATAAAGTTACATAGGCTATAAAAAACATATATTTGCGTCGGATATGTTATATCCTGACAATTTGTTATGATAGAGCATTAGTTTGGATGAACCAACATACCTTGCGAAGAGAACTCACGATACTATGTAGGTATATACATACAAAATATTGTAGAGTTTAAATAGCTATGACTTAAAAAATGTGTATATTTAACACTAATTATAAACAACACAAATTAGTTACTGCATCGCTGAAGTTCAGTCCTTCATGAAATGAGAAAATTATTCAGTTTCGTGAAGTACACAAAATTTACAGCGCATATGAGATATGGCTTTGAAATTACAGTGTACAAAGGCTCACATAACATTTTAGTTCCCAGGAATTGAAATCGTTTAATGCATCTGCAACTCAAAAATATCTCTGCATTTTATTATAGCTTGGTATGTTTATTCTGTAATTCAGATAAATAACGTATTCACATAATTGTCTGATAACTATGACTGATTCATTTTATTACTCAAGTAACTGTTCATTTATATATGTCAACTTAACTATTTCGCAGTTTATATTCACAGAAAATTCTTAAAAAATATAATTATGAACAATGTTTATTTAATAGAGCAACTTGCAAGATTCTCACTCGTTCTTCTTGTGATGAGTCTGCGTTCCGAATTAGTGATAATAAAAAAATTATGACTATTCAAAAATGCCTATATGAAGTTCATTTGAATAAAGATTATTTCTTTTCTATTCTATTCTAGACGGGATTTAGAATGGTTTGTTTATATAAACAAAAGTTGCGTGTGCCTCCAACCGTTATTATCAAATTATGGACTTAAATAATTTAACTGGAAAGGAATTATAGTTATATATAAAATTATAGGGTGTGTACGTTAGCTGTAATTTGGAAATGATCTCTTTGTTATGGGTAAGATGTATTTATATAAGAATTGTAATTATGATTCAAACAGAACACAATTTTGTATTCAACGGTTTCTACTTGTTTTTATTTAAATAGATAGAAATATATGTAATTAATAAGTTATTACTTATATTTCTATTGTTTGAATAATTATAATTATTATATAAATAATTTATTATAATAAATACATTAAAAAGAATTTACAAAAATATTTTAAATAAGTGTGTCAAATTAAAAAAAAAATGTAGATATGGATAATTGGGTTAGAAATACGTAACTGACAATAATATTTGATAAATAACTAATACATAACGATAAATAATGCAGGTCAATAAATTGCGTCACTATTAAAAGTTATCGCTTCCTTTATGAACATGAAAAATATTAATGTATGCACATTTTTACTTAATCTGTGCAGAAGGAATTTTGTGGAAACTAAACTTTGTTCACAGTGCAATTTTTGAATTAAATTACTGGCAACAGAGAAAATGGCGTGCATTCTTTTAAAAAATAAAAGAATATACCCCTGTGACAGCTAAACACAGATAAGGTTTAAAAAATATTACCTGACTGTCTTTTTTGCTAATTGCTAATGATTATTATTGGTAAATAACCAATAGGATTGCAGGCTATTTTCTACTCAATGTTATATGATATAACCAAACATTTAATACTAAAACCTATTTGTACGTGTATCTTCTTTAAATTCTTATTCTTGTGCCTAATTATAAATATCTTTTAGAGAAAAAATATGTCATCTGCACTTGCATACGTACACATTATTTTATTAAAATCTAATGCACCGAGAGTCGGAGGTTATCACGTATTGAGGCCGCGATAACCCAAGGTATTCTATTGTTTTAATTATTGATAATATCTATTTAATATGCACACTGAATTTTTATACCAGTTTCAAAGGTTAGACTATTATTATTTATATTTAAGTAGGTTATTGTATTTTTTTCAATTATTATGCATTTATTTATCTGTCTTATAAATAGAAGTTTTTGGCAAAAACACCAACATGCCAAGCCTGAAAAATAAAAAAAAGACAGAAGTTACTGTAACTATTTTATACTTATACTAGTGGGTTCTATTTTTAAAAATACGAGCACTCTAAATGTAATCCTGTTGTAAAAATGTATTAATGGTAGAACAGATTACAGTAGTCAGTAAGGTGACATAATATATAATATTATCTATCATATTTTGATTGTAGAATAGTGAATAAAATATTTATATATTACAGTAAAGTGTTGCCCAATGCATACTCATTGGATTATACTCATTATTTATTACCATTTATGCTTCGAAATTTTCATATAATTCCATAGTTATAATTTTCTTGTTACCAACTCGTAATTAAGACGCCGCCTTTCATTTCTACTGATATAATGAAATATACCTCAGTTCCAGTGTCACTCCGCCTGAGTAATAAATTAGTTTTATTAATGGTCTTCTAGGATTAGTGTAATTATATGTATATCGTTACGGTTCCTTTATATTAAGTAATGCTTTGATAATATTAATATCTTTTTGCTGTCAAAATCGAAACTTCCACGAAATCGTTCGATTGATACAACACATTTTCCGTATAAGTGACCGATGATGAATTAATATTGTCTGCATATTATTTCACTGTCATATTACCACGCATAGCTTACAAAAGTTAAGAAATTTAACCTTAGGTAGAAGACAAAGAAGAATAATCTAAAAATATGTATGATATCACACTAGGCTATGCCTGTATCGTGGAAGCCAAAGCAAGTCAAAGGTATACAAAGTCTTTCTCTATTATCTTTAAGTTTACGAACTAATGTTTTTTGTCGTTGTACCCACTGGCTAACCCTAATGAATAATGTTTTTGCTACATTATTCATTGCAACTCTTCTTCTATTGTTCGTAGCGTGGTGTTATAACATATAGCCTTCATCGGCAATTGGACTAACTAACAATAAAAGCATTTTCAAAATCGGTAAAGTAGATTCGGAGACGGAGACGGTCCCCTTTAACCTCAGAAAGTCACAAAATTTACCTCTTTGTAATATTAATACAAATACTTAAATATATGCAAGATACAACAAAGAAATAAATAAACATAATATAATATAATACGAAAATAGCTGAGCTGGTAAAGGTACACAGATAAATCAACGACCACAATATTAATCAATAACAAATTTCTTAAGATCTATATGTCTGATGAGACAAATATTTGTACCAATCATCATTACGTGCTCTCGTCGGCAAACAAACAAATGGGAGCAATCCCATTTGTGTATCCCTATTATGTTGCGTATAATGATTTATATCGAACTAGTTTTGAGAAATTCATTAAATTGTTTTCTTTTTTATTTATTAAAGGAATTTATATAATTTTTGTTAATTAACTGCATCTTTCGATGGCATATTTATTAAACGGAGGGAATGTTTGGATATTTATTTAATCAAAACAAACCTAAAATATATTTTTCTTGTAGGACATTTTAGTCACATGTGAACTTATTATTTTTTTAATTCGACTGAGTTAAAAAAAATATTACAAAAAATGTGTTAAAACTCGGACGAAACATGGTCTAAGGTCGGATTTCACCAATCGTAGCATAAACACGTTCAAGGAAACGGAGTTCAGCGTGAACTCGAAAAAAAGAACGACGTTGATCTCGTTTTGCTTTAAATGGAATTCACCAACATTATACAGATCGCGTTTACTAAAATGAAGTTTAGATTTCATTCGTTCACAGTGTTACACGCTAATAAAATAATATTTGATGTAATGGGTAATTTAAATAAAATAATTCTAAGAAATATTTGTAATTCAATCATGTGATAATTAGGATAAGTTTATTAATTTTTAATTTAATAAGTACCGTCGACTACAAAATATAAAACGACAACCTTTACCTATTAACTAGTAAAAAAATATTTTATTGAGGATTTTTTTTTACACTACTGGCAAATTTCTTTTTATTCCCGATATTGTATTGTCAAAAATTTATTTGATGACTGTTTGACAACTGACAGTTGCTTTAAATACGTTTAAAGAGTTAACTGTAGTAAATCAGACGTACAGAATTTATAAACGTGTTTAGCGAAATTTGTAGTGATGAAATGCAAAATGAAGCTTTGAACACGTTTAAACGTTTTAATGCCGTTCAGTTTGAACTAAACGTGATCAGTTTCTTTGGTGAAATCCGACCTAAATGATCGTGGTTTAAATCATTCCTAAAGTTAATACTTGAAATAAACCTAACATTGTTATGAATCCAGATCTAACAGAGAACTACTTAGTACTACAGTTAAATCGTTCATTATATATTCCGTACATATAATATAAAGAAATCAGTCACTCATTTCTGTTAGCGTACAATTGCGTTCCGTTTTACCAGAAAACTGAAATGATCAAAAATAATATTATTTGTATTTATCTTCATTATAACTATTTCATTAATCTATACATATAAATAAAACTGGTGTGTCAGTTTGTAATATTGAAATAACCGTTTTTTACTGCATGCATATGAATACGGTACGTACACCAAAATAACATTTTTTATGATTGTTTGTGTGTATGTTTTGTTTGTTTGTTTTTTATGTGTTATTACTATGGGTAAGATAGCAAGAACATTGAAATGAAATAAATTACTACAACTATGTAATATTATGTTATCTGTGCTACAACTATAAGATAAAAAAGGTTTTTGGGAGAAATTTAATTAAGCAAACAGCACAGAACTTCTTGGAATATCAAATCTGTAACAATTTTGCAGTGTTTAAACAGGTAGGTATGAATATTTTGTACGCTGCAAACTGA